TTGCTTAGTTATGTAGTTTAGAATTGAAGCATTGAATTGAACGGACGTGTTTTTATTATGAGTGTCTAGAGCACGATAATCACAGACAGTACACTAAGGTTTGGGCCCCTTTTTCTACGAGGAACTTAAATAAATCTACAATCATTCTGGTTATTTTCAAACAAGAGCGAAGGAAAATGACACCTGAATATTGTCGATAGTTCGTATTGTTTGTAATTTTGAAGAATACTGCATTATCTATTTTTAGATCATATGATAGCAAAATTCGACCTGGTTTGTGACTGTGTGTACATTTATGAATAAAGATGAATAGAATAGGCGGGCTCTGATACAATGGAGGGAAATACATGTCCGAGGAATCTACCTTATATGGCTATTGTTATTATTTCGCACATAGTCGCTTACAGAGAACAATTGTCCAATCCGATGACCGAATGACAAAACATGCTGTTTACTATATGTTTATATTTTATCACAGACAGGTGGTTTAGGTCAATTAACACATTATTTTACTACATTTCAAACTTTAAATGGTCAACAAAAGCCTTTATGCATGACAATTAATACGCATGGAACCACAGCGTTTATCGCTTTGGACCAAGTAATATATATGACATTTATATTCACTGATACTGAATCCTTAATTTATCATCCATTAATAATGATAAAAAAATAACGACATTTCTGAGGCATGTGCATAATATTTAATTGTACCATACGGTAAATAGATATAAATTGATATCTTTGTCCTTTCTACTAAAGTCCACAGGAAGTGTTTCATTTGTATTTTGGTTAGGATTTGTTCATTCACATTCGATATTTTGTTCGTGATCGGGAGGTCGATCGTGAGTTCGAATCTCGGCCGCGATACATTTCCAGGTTATGTTTATTTGACTTTAATGCACTCAATGAGAGATTTTTTTAGGGGGGATTTTCAATGAAGAGTAAAAGCTTATGCTTGCTAAAAAAGTGGGGTAGCCACCATCGCCCCCACCCCGACCCCCATACTACGTACTACGTGCCAGATAAACCACCAAGAAGAAAAACACTTAAAAAAATTGGAAAACTTTTTAGCAACTTTTCATTGATTTTTTAGGGACTTAAACTTGCATATTTTTTGTTGACTTTTTACCTTACCTGTATGTAGAAGGTGATCAGTTTTGTATTGTTATGCTCATCACTACACAATCTCAGTCCTGTGCAGCATTTTTTGTGTTGTTAAATTTGTTTAAAAATGAAATTTATGTTATAATAAGTAGATACGTGTATTAAACGTATGTGACGGGTATTTAAATCTATATTTATCACCAACCAGGAAGTAAAATACAGATCTCGATCGTTTAAGTCTCATCATTCTGAGATTCAAAAGTCTATTAGGGAAGTCATTAATAATTTAAAAATCTTTCATTTTCAGATAAAGCTGTAAGTATTAATATAATCATTTCAATTCTTTTTAATCAGGTACATTTAAATGCATATGAAGTCACAGATTATAAAATGATAATTAAAATTCGTTGCCTAGGATTACCAGTAATTTATCAAATCAATTATGATTTTATATAAAATATATTCTTTTAAAAATATGAATTTGTACCTATAGTTTTAGTACGCCATAGCGTATGTAATACATGCTATTAATTAGAAAACATTTTCAAATTAAAAAAACAACAACATTTTTTATCGTTTCCAGATGGCATAATCTAAAATGGATATTCCCCACAGAGCCCAGCACTTTTAGAATGTGGCATTGAAGATTGTGCAAGAAACTGTGAGTTCTATTGCAACCCGTGTCAACAAAGATTGTGTGGACAATGCAGAGATGAACATCTGAAGAACCCAGATAAAATGAACCATGAAGTAGTCCTTTACCGACACTTTCCTGTGGAGAAATGCACGATCCACCCATTTAAAGATATTGACATGTTTTGTGTAAAATGCCAAGTCCCATTATGTTTCAAATGTGCCGCTAAGAACCATAGGGGGCATACATTTACTGATATACAAACAATTTATGCAGCAAAATATGCAGACTTCGAAGAGGAAATTTCCAAGGTCCATGAGTACTTTCTCCCCACATCACAAAATTCACAGAAAGAAATTAAAAAAGATTCCTCAGAAATCAAATACATCATAGACAACATCAGATCAACCATGAAGACTGAAGGTGAATCCCTGAAAAGTCTGGTGGACACAGTCCTATCTGAGAACCTGAAGCAGCTAGACCAGATAGAGCATTCACTGGTAGATGATTTAAACATCCAAGATAAGACTATGGATGATTACATCACTTACCTGAATAACTTGTCAAAGAGCTTAAAAGATGTCTTTCCTCTACAGAACCCCAGAATTTAAAATCTAAGAAGAAGCCAAAGATCCGATCCATACCAGAGACAACAAAACCAGTCACACCAGGATTTACTGCAGGTCAATACGGCAAAAGTGACGTCGCCAAATTACTTGGTAAAATATATGTCCCCAACACTAAGTCAGAGAAAAGAGAAATAAGGCCCATTGAAAGTGTTTACAATACAGCAATGAAACCTAAACATAAACAGATGAAAGAAGACAGAAAGAAATCTGATAAGAAACAACTATTGTCTCTATCTACCTCTGTCAACAAGGTCAGGGAGTTCAATGTACCAGGTGTTGAACATGTATACATAAATCACTAGATCAATCAGAGAGACTCTGGATCAGTGACAATGAGGGTAATCTTGTCCAAACAGATCTACAGGGGAATGTGATACAGAAGATAAAAACCAGTGGTGGATCTGAAGGTTACCACACAGTGACACAGGACGGGGATCTGATCTTTACAGACAGAGACAAGAATGTCATCAATAGGATAACACAGGATAATAATATCACTGAATTCATTAAAACTGGAGACTGGAGACCACTCAGCATACACTCCTCCCACATCAACGGGGACTTACTGGTGGGAATGATCACGGATGGAGAGGCTAAAGTCACCAGGTACAACAAGACGGGAAAAGAACTACAGAACATACATAGGGACAACAAAGGTCAGGGACTATATAAACTACCACACTGCATCACAGAAAACATCAATGGAGATATCTGTACATCAGAATTAAATAAACCTGCAAAAGTCGTGGTGAATAAATCAGGAAAACACAGGTTCTCCTATACAGGTCAAAAGTTAGACATCTGGCCCTTTGGAATCTGTACTGATGTCCTTGGTCACATCCTGGTGTGTAATATTTTCATTCCCAATGTTCACCTCCTTGATCAGGATGGTAAGTTCTTGTCTTTATTACTCACACCACAACAAGGGGTAGACCGTCCCGTTACTGTGGGTATCGATGATGAGAACAATCTCTACGTCGGTCAAGCTTGCTCCAACACACTGACAGTGTACAAGTTTCTCAAGTGATTCTTTTTCTGTCATAAATATTTTGTATGTTATAAACATACAACGGTAAAGTGAATGGTGTTTATAGCCATCCTTTCGGTTGCTTTATATCCAATTTATGACTTAAAATTTTTATATATAAAAACATGTTTTGAATCATTAATTACCAAAAATGATACAGATTATACGTGTAATTAAAAATATATATATTTATAGCTACATGTACATGTATAAAGGAAATTTACATGGCGTATGATTTATCATATAAAAGCAGTTTTTTTTACGTGTAACAAATGTATCAATACAATAGAATATCGCAGTACAGTTAAGGCTACCCATGAAATTTTTATGGTAATGAGGTCATAATGAGGTTTGACGTCATGACAGTCGCTCCGCCCTGATATATCTATATAAGGAATTCGAGCTTAAAATAACTATTTAACGACAATTGCAAGACTTTGTAACAAATATCCGTATTCTTGTGTTTAGATTAATTAGAAGTAGTGATTTTCTCTTGTTTAGAACATCATGTTGTCGAAATAATTCGCTTTTTATTGTGTCGTTTGGCTGCACTCGGCTTCAGCCAAGCGCTTGCACTCAGTGACACGGAATGTTGTTTACATAAAGGACGTGGCGACAGCAGCTGAGATTTGCAGAGGAAAATACAGCAAACAGGTAAATCTTTTAAAGAGAACAGTAATAAAGTAACAGATTTATGGTTTGTTTATCAGATGATGCAGATATTTAGAGAAATCATGGAGTACAGAGGCTATTGCACCCACCTCTCTACCCTGGGCAGCTGCAGGGGTTTTCATATTAGATTCGTATATTATGTACTCATAGGTATCAAGATTTAGACAGTTCTTAAAATCAATATGAAATAATCGAGTGTGTATGTATAATATGTATACATGTAGCAAGATGTATTGACAGTGCCCAGGAGCTGTAGCTGTGCCCCCCCCCCCCAACACACAAACATGATATGAAGTAGTTAGAATAATCTAACTGTGTCTCTGGACAAGCCGGGTCCGTAGGACAATATCATTTTAACGATAGAACGTTCTATCTAGATATGAAATTGCACACCAACAGTTTAATTTGCACTGAATATGAAATTTCTTGTTGTTCAACTAATTTTTGAGGGGATACATGTATCATGGAGATCTGCAGGCAAATGTTTGCTGTTAAATGTATTTAAATTAATTATTGTTCAATTTCAATCATTGATAAAAGATTCACTAAACATGTACATGTAATTATGTTGACATACAATCATCTTAATATGTAATTTAAAAAGGAAAGCAGGATATCAAATGATAATTTAGCACATCCATAAAGCACTTCCATAAAGTGTATATTTCTGTAAAGTGAAACTGTTTTGTAGGCCTATGTGCAATATACATGCATGTATGCATTTTATACCCCAGTCCTGTAAATCAAAAATATAGATTAAAAGTTTCAATTTTCACCAGCTAGTGTTTCATATTTTAAAATAATTCTTAGTATTTCTATATCTGTATAATTAAACTCTAAATCTGTAGAATGATATTTCTAAATTTCAAATTGAAAATTATGTTATTTCATTTTCCTGGTCTGAATAGGCCTACATGATGTACAATTCTTTCATCATTGTAGATATCAGGTGCTGCATGCATATAACCCAGAGTTGCATTGTATCTACAGAAAACATATGCGACAATTTCTAAACATGGTATGTTCACTATTTAAATATTTCACAATATAATAGTTTTTCAATTATGAACAGATGCAAGAATTTCATTTATGAATTTATTTCCTTTAATCAGATATTTTCCAAGCTTAAATTGCTATTGCAAATGTCAGAGTTTTTAAAATCCCAGAAAAGTTTCATAACAAAAGATTTCATGAATTTTAGAAAATATTACATTACATGATTTGTTTTGCACATTGCAATGCAATTCATTTAAAATATTATGTATTTGACTCATTACATTTTCAGTATATTTTATGTTACAGTAGCTGTTCACAAACAATTTGAACCATTCCAGTGTTGACACAGGCAGCAAGTGTATGGACCAAGTAAAAAGGTATGCTTAATGATATCAACAGCACACATATTCATGACACTTTTGTTTTATAAAATTATTTTAATGAAAAAAAAAAGCAGAGTTACAGATATTTGATACATTTTTATGTGATTTCATTAGATTTTACTCATTACATTGTTTTAAGTTTTACTGTTTTAATCACCAGTGCACTTAATAATATTTCATTTTATTTTTTAGAATGGACTTTATCCCAGAGTACATGTCTTGATGGAAAAACTATGCATCTGCTCAGAATTACCCTCACAGCCTGGCTTTGTATGGGAGAAGCTGTAGTTATTAAATAAATTTACTAGATGAATATTACTTTAACTGTTATCTTTCAATGGCAACAGTGATATGAATGTCAGCTTTTAAGGCTGTAAAGATGTGAAAATCCAGACTTGCATAAACATGGTATTTTAGGTACATTGTACCAAATAAAGCCTAATATTGGCATAATTATATATTTATCATGATCACATGCATCAAAGAAGTATCTGTTTTCTGATTACATTTTAATATCATTTAGATCAGGTGCTTTCATTCTTTTTTTGGAGACAATATCAATCCTTAAGCTTTTAACTTTATCACAGGAAAAAGACCCCCCCCCCCTTTTCCAAATAAAAAAAATGAAAGCACCCAATCTAAATGAGATGCAATGGCTATATCCTAATAAATAAAAACCAGATCATGATGTTTACAAGTTAACAACGCCCAAGTATATATCATTGCCCTTTTACCAAGGGAGCTAAGAAGCAAACTATAAGGGGTTAGATGTGCAGAAAGGAGGATAGAGCTAATTATATCAACAGTTGTAAATAACCCTCACCTGGTTTTTATATCTGAGTTATTTATAAACTAACAAGAACTCTTAAACAAAGGAAGATTTTGGAGAACTACTGAGGAAAACCCATATGTGAACTTCATTCTGCTGTAGATATATATTTTTTATTATGTCTGTGTGAGTGGGGGGGGGGGGGGATAAATGGTTTCTTCTTCTAGTATGAAATGGTTTCTCATTATATGAGGGATGGGAGATCTTCATGTTTATCAAAAATGATTGAAACATAGCAATGGTCATTTTTTTCAATCTTACTTATATGATGTACTTCGCGGAAATTGCCGACAAACTTGATTGTTATATATATACGTACATGATATAGGCCCAGATCTTCGAGAAAATGCGGAAGGTATTCAACAAGGTCTTGTCCGGTGTATAAAAAGGACAAAGACATACAAAAAAGTAATAAAAGTCAAGATCTTTATATGCATACCGTTTTGAATAGGTAAAATAAAGCCTAGCATAGTCCGTAGATGTTACATATTCAAATTCGCGAGATAAACAAACTCTACAAATACCAAAGAGTTACCTCCCGTGCCGGGTCGCTAATGCGTTTGAAAACTATATTTAGAATGAATGTTTCAAGACTTCGATTTTAAACTAAAAAGTTCAAGGGCAAGGCGACATATGAAGAGGTGGGTTTTTGTATTAAATTGTTTATATTACTGCATACTTTTTGAAAGTGATGCTCATTTCTCTGTAATTCGCTAAGTAATTTATTATTTCACATGAAATGTGGAAAGAACCCTATTTTTTCAATATCAGTCTTTGTTTTTACTGAATAACTAAATAATACCAGAAATCTAACTGAATGAGCATTATTTTTGAGATAGGATAGATATCTGGGGACACATTGAAACCTTGTGCAGTGTGATTTTTCTTTTCCTTGCCCTTGAACTTTTCGGTTAAATTTGATATGTTATATCTTGAGCTAAAATAGGAGCCCATGTGACTATAAATGTCACATGATGACAAAAAAAATCAATATTAAAAGCGAAGGACACACTCTTCAAGAAGACACAAAGATATTTTTAGTAGAGTCTTATGCTAAAAAATAAGACAGTTAAACTTCAAGTGTCTTGTTTTCAGTGTCTTTTTATAGAAAATGTTGCCTTAACTGTACTGCGATATATTTTTGTGTTATTAGTTTATTCCCTATTTGGATTAGTTGATACACAGAGAAACAAAATAAAAGTTCTCCAGAAAATTGGGATAGTCAGGGAGTCGTCAAATCTGTGTCTTTGATATAACGTATAATATCTTTTAAATCAGGGATGGGGTCAATTACTTTAAAATGTAATTAATTAAATTACAATTACTTTGACTTTTTCTTCCATTGAATTACAAGTAAATTACAGGCTTAATAAGACATGTAATTAATTATATTGCAATTACTTTGCAAAAGTAATTAATTAAATCACACATTACTTTATTTTTTTCAAATTTTTATAATCCTTGCGAATGAAAATATATACAAAACATCATTGTACATGTATGTAAAGCTCTTGCATTCTCTACACAAACAATAAAATAATTAAATATTATTTTAGATATTGTGTATCTTTGTGGTTTATAACTTTCATTTACAAAACACTTTCATTTACAAAATATTTAGTCGCCACGTGACGCAGTGATTAGAACTTCTGCTCTAGGGTGGCGGAGTAAGGAGTTGATCCTTATATCACGGGTTCGAATCCCACTGTGTGACGTGGAGACCGGTCCGTCCTTCGGATAAGACCGTATAAACCGAGGTCCCATATCACAGTAGATGCTGAAACGAAAAAGATCCCTCACTGCTCAGTGGCCGTAAGTGCTGAGTATAAGACAAAATTTGAAACCCTTCACCAACAAGTGGTGGCGTCTCCATATGAGTGAAAAATTCGTGAGAGGGACGTTAAACAGCATACAAACAAACAAACAAAACAAAACATTTAAGAATTATCCATGATCAGTTTGACGCAGTTTTCTCCACACAAAACCTACATGTTCACAAAGTACATGACTTATAGAATTTAATTAAAAATGAAGATTTAGCGTAAATGAGATACAACTGAGACCGCTCAAATTATATTCAATTGTCGGTAACCTGAACATCCTCAATTGCTATTAATGTTGAGCTTTTTTTAAATCCTATATAAATTTTTTCAGATACAAAATTCATTCATAAAATATTTGTTTAGATGTTAATATAATTAATGAATTGAAAGTTGTTTCTTTTCTAAAGCTAATGGAGCATTTTTAATTAAAATAATCACCCCAATTGTGCTCATTCTCCAAATCATGGATTGAATGTCTCTGTGTAGGGTTGATTTGTTTTGATTGCAATTACAGCTGTGATTCGGAGAGCAGTTATTTCTAAATAACAAGAGAGATCTTCATGACACGGACACTTTTTATTCTTTAATATTACTGATCACACAAAAAAGAATGAACTATTTCATAACTAAATAGAAGTGTGGTACAAAATTTTAGATAAACATAAAACACATAAATTCTAAATGTATATTTTGAAAATAAATAATTTGCAAACTATAGATTATTAATATCATGCAAATATTTGACTAAGATTCTGTATAACTGATGAAAGAATAAGAATGTTTTATGATTTAAAAAAGACAGAAAATAAGGATGTGATAGAGATGTTATGTTATGAATATATGTTATCTAAAGTAATTGAAATGTAATTGAAAAGTAATTCAAATTACATGGTATTTTTTCAGTGTAATTAATTACAAGTACAAGTAATTGAAGATATGTTCAATTACAAATTACATCGAATTATTTTAAATGATGTAATTAATTACAGCCAATTACAATTACTTTTTTTCAATTACCCTATCCCTGTTCTAAATACAGTTAATTTGAAATTGCTATAGTTTAAAAATGTCACGATTATTAATGATTATTCTACAGAATCATTTTAAGAGCTCCACAAGCCTGAATGGTTATCTAATCCATTTGAGGGGGGAGGGGGGCACGTTATGAATTCCCAACACATTGACAACCCGGTTGAGATGCAGTTTGAAAAATTTCTGACAGAAATAAATTACTCGTATAGGAGGATGCCATAAAGATTATATCTATTTATACAAATTTTGTAGTCCTGTATAATCATTGGGGAGAGAGAGAGAGAGAGAGAGAGAGAGAGAGAGAGAGAGAGAGAGAGAGAGATAAAGGAACACCCAATATATTCCTAATTTTTTTTTAATTTCTACGTAGCTTGCATCTCTGCACCCATGCTTTTTTTTTTCAAAGGATTTATATTAACACAATTCAAGCAAATTAAATGTATAACTTAAGTTTGAAGCTTTATGCCTATTTAATAGATTGATCTTGAAAACAGATATTTAATCAAGTTTTATGTACAGATTTTATTGCTTATTCTAATGAAAATCAAAATAATTGATTTATTCACTGTGGTATTCAAAGATCGCTCTATCTGGATGTAAGGTATGTCACTCGTAAGCTTTTGAGAAAAGTTTGATCAGAACCTCTCACTTCAAAAATATTTATTACAATTCAATCTTAATGAAATATTTGAATTAAACAATGCAAACTTTTCACAAAATTGTGAAGAAACAAGATTTATGGGGGACTATTTCTTGTGGTGGAAGGATATTTGGAAGAAAATTCTTCAAATCTACACATTTCTTGGATTTAATATCTTGGAACTTTAGCACTATATATTTTTACTCGGAGAATTTTTTTTTTTTTTTTTTTTTTGTTATCATGTGCAGGGAATATTAAATATAGGACTCAATTAATATTTTTAAAACAAATTTTACACAATCACTAAACAGACTTTGCCAAAAAATGAAGATATATTTAAGAAGTCAAGATAAAATGTACATTGTTTTTCGCCTGAAAATCGCACATTTTGTCCAATATCTCGAAATTTACATCACTGACCCCACCTTTTTCTTTCTTTATTTTAAATGACACGATACAATCAACGAATCAGCACTTAAGTCATAAAAACTTGATACAAGAAAATATTTTATTGCCTATCTAGATATTTAATACCCCAAATATGATATTTTTTCAGTGCAAAAAGGTCACACAATATTTTACGCGCATTAATTTGCAGGATTTTTTCAACAATAAATATTATTCAGACTATTTTACATAAAATCAGATAATATTTATTGCTATGATTACGTTAGTAAAATATGACTAAGGTAAAAGTGATTAACCTAAAAGTTACAATTTAAGTGCAAAAAGGTCAAGTTAATTGTATTGTTGCGCAGTAAGATGCACACTGACCCCCACTTTTCTTTGCGATTTTGAGTCATGCTATATGAGTAGTTATCTAAAATATACTTCTCCAAAAATCCTTAAAAGCTTTCTAAGTCAGATGAAAAATTAAAACAGACCTCATAACCTCCCTGGAATAGTAACACTAAAGTTGATCATGGGGAGACTGGAAATATTACACCCTCAAGAA